CGCACCGAGGTCAACTACTCCACGTCAGAGAAAGAGTGCCTCGCTGTGGTATAGGCCACGATGAAATTTAGGCCTTACTTTTAAGGACGGCACTTCAAGGTAGTGACCGACCATCATTCGTTGTGTTGGTTAGCCAACATACGTGACCCGTGTGGGTGACTGGTACGATGGAGTCTTCGTCTGCAGCGATACGATTTCGCGATCACTTACAAATCGGGCCACAACCTTGAAGATGCTGATTCTTTATCCCGTGCACCTGTCGAAGTTTGTGGCCACGACACCGAGGATGACGATGGTTTTCTTGGGGCCCTTACTACAACGGATCTGATTACACGACAGCGCGCGGACGACGAAATTCGCGCAGTTATCGAAAACCTTGAAGGACGTAACTCTTCCATACCTCGATGTTTTTCTCGGGGTCTGCCGTCGTTCTGTCTGAGAGGTGGGGTCCTGTATAAGAAAAACTCCAACGGCAATGACAGATCCTATCTTCTAGTTGTGCCAACTGACATGCGTGACGACATTCTTCTCGCCTGTATTCAAGCTCGGCTACACGAGCCATCGCAAGGCCACGGCATATCATCCGCTGAGCAACGGCTTGGCAGAGCGACTCAAAAAGGCCTCGCTGACATGTTATCCATGTACGTAGATGTCCAGCATAAGACCTGGGACCAGGTGCTACCATACGTCACATTCGCGTACAATACTGCCGTCCAGGAAACTACGCGATCCACGCCTTTCCGTGTTGTCTGTGGGCGTGAGGTCCAGACCATGCTGAATGCGATGCTTCCACACAATTGCGACGCTTTGATCACTCCTGACGCTGTGTAGCTTACCCAATACGCCGAAGAAGCACGCCATTTATCACGCCTACACATTACGCACCAGCAGAGTACAGACGCATGCCGCTACAACGCTCACCATTGACAAATGGAATAGCATCCAGGTGACCAAGTTTGGGTGTGGACTCCAGTCTGACGCCAGGGATTGCCAGAGAAACTGCTCAGTCGCTACTTCGGACCGTATTGAGTGTTGCGAAGCGTGAGCGATGTGAACTACGAGGTGGTCCCTGACGGCACCTTCTCGCCACGGCGGCGAAGACACTCCTCGGTGATTGTGCACGTAGTGCTACCGAAGCCGTACTTCACGCGGTAGTGCGACTGCGCATAAACCTTGTTGCTGTTTTTTGTATGCATGTATTTTTTGTTGGTTCAACCCAACTTTGCCTTTGTGCTTTCCGGGCATCTGAGTGATGCCTATTTTTTTTTCTCAGAAGGGGAATAATGCCACTTGGCCGCTAGTTACGGCGAGCGCAAGCCATGGCTGCCCGATAGAATGGAAGACGATGTTCTCAAGCAGCGCCTGCTCTGGTTAGTTGTCGATTATTGAATCAGCAGTCTTGCCAGTTTTCGGTGCGTCTTCCCGCCAGCACAGTTCTTTCGAGTTGAAGACTTTTTATAGCCCGTGACAATATGCATGCTTCATTTTTCTTTCAGTTACATTTTCATGAATGGCCATGCTCACAATTCGGCAAACATAATTTCCCAGCGTGCACTTTTTGCTTTTACACTGCTGACCTGGCGGGAGCGTGGCGCCAACTTTTCGAACAGCGTGGGCAATGTCTTCTTAGATCTAGCGTGAGATCAAACAGCAATATTGTGAGAAGTGCCCTGCGATTCTAATAATGAATTCCCGGAGTTGTTCTGCGCAACACATTTTACGAATATTGTTTCGTGCACGATGTTTACGTGCAGACATATGTAAAGAGCTTCCTTGTTTTCAGTGACGATTTGGGCACTAAAGCGCTGTCATAATTGTGGTTGTGAAACGCTGCGCACATGATGTGCTGCACATAGATTTCACGCAGGAGTTACAGAGCCAACATTGCTATAGAAGCAGTGCATCGGTCACTCGTATTCCTTGCTCGTAAATTTAAATACGGCTACCTAGGATGCCCTGCATTTTTTTTCACCTTGAAGTACGCCTGCCAAAAAAAAAAAACACGGCAACTGAGATTAAGTGCGTCAATAATGATTAAAAATGATATTAAACGTTATGAAGTTATAAATAACGCCCAGCGTAGTAAAGTGTGATTGTTTGATTTGATAACTAAAGTAGAATATTAGTCAGAAGTTGAGGTATTTTTTTCAATCTCAGAATAATTCACAGCCCATATAGTCTGCGTTCATTAAAGGTTATCATTAGTTTGCAGAGACACCTTCACATCTCAACTGCACAAACGTATCAAGACTTCTGGAAGTGTAATAAAAAAAGAAGTCGCCATAGCCGCTACACGGCGTTAATTTCGCACAAGTGAATTCTCCAAGAAAGAAAGCTTTACTGCGCCAATGATGCTCATTTGCCATGCAGATTATCTTCATAATTCTGCCACTAAGGGTTGTAATACCTAGCTATTTCATTTATTCTAATTGGAGGAGGAGGAATAAATGAGGAAGGACAGGGAGGTTAGCCAGTTCTCAGACCGGCTGGCTACCCTGTACTGGGGAAGGGGGTAAGGGGGATAAAGGATGAGAGAAAAGAGACGTTGTAAAAAAAAGAGAGAGAGAAGGTCATCAGACGATCCACGACGCTGTTTACAGTCTGTCTCTAAGACCACTTGCCCGCAGAAAGCGCAACAACGCTCTCAGTGCCTTGCGTGCAGAGGACGGTCTCGGCCAGTGTCCTAATACCCTTTCTTCCGACAATTGGCGATTGTCTATTCTATCTAAAGCTTTTGACAGTTCTTTTCTTGGCACGCTGAAGCGGGGACACTCGCAGAGAAGATGGTAGAAAGGCTCTGCGCAGCCACAGTTGTCACATGTCGGGCTTCTGGCCATTCCGATTCGAAACGAATAAGCATTCGTAAAGGCCACCCCAATCCACAGACGGCACAAAAGTGTCTCCTCTGCTCTGGTTATTCCTGATAGAAGACGGAGCTGTAGGTGTGGGTCAAAATTATGAAGGCGGACGTTGGTGAATGTCGGTGAATACCACTGAGCGAGTGTCAGTTCTTGTGCAAGTGATCGAAGCCTTGCAGCGGCGTCCGTCCTTGATAATGGTATAGCTACACAAGGGGCATCATCATGAGCAGTTCGGGCTGCTTCATCTGCACGGTCGTTTCCATCAATGCTGCAGTGGCCTGGTATCCATTGATACGCTATGTCATGTTGTTTCTCTATAGCCCGGTGATGAAGCAGTCGTATTTCAGCAATTAGCTGTTCGTTTGGTCCATGACGATATGGCGAGGCAATGCCCTGGAGAGCTGCTTTGGAGTCGGAGAATATTGACCATGTCTGTTGCGGTTCTTCAACTAGGAACCCCAGAGCGGCACGAATGGCGGCGAGTTCTGCCGCCGAGGATGATGTCAGATGCGAGGTCCTGAACTTTATCGTGATGGATTTCTCCGGAATTACCACTGCGCCTGTTGAACTTGTTGAAGTGACCGACCCATCCGTGTAAATGTGAATGCGTCCACTGTGTTTCTCATGCAGAAACAGTAATGTTGTTTGTTTTAGGGCCAAATTTGACAAATGTTTCTTCTTTTGCATTCCGGAGATGGTTATCTGGGCTTCCAGTGGATGTAGACACCACAATGGTAACGACGGTCTTGCTGCATGCGTGAAGTTCGTGGGAATCACCGTGCGATGTGGGGCAATAATAGAGCAGAACGCAGAGCATGGCCTGGAAGTTAGAAGGGAGGCGAGGTGATGCGATTGAATCCGGGTGGCATGTCTTATGTGCATTCTTAAAGCATCGACACGAATGTAGGTTGTGATAGGGTGTTCATGAGCGATTGCGACAGTCGCTGCTGAGGATGCGCATCTCGGCAGCCCGAGGCATATTCTCAGTGCTTGAGCTTGTAATGACTGGAGGACGTGTACGTTTGTTATGCGGGACCTTGCCAAGCACAGGTAGGCTGTAGCTTATTTTAATAGAATCGTAAGGCTGCTTGTGTTATTACTACGCTGTGACCTGTAACATCGCCTTTAATTCATGGTCACATCAGAATTTAATTGCAAGTGTGAACTCTGGAGCAATTCGCAGTGCTAACTTTCTTTATATATATTGATACGTGTTCCTCTTCATAAGATAGCATGTTTCGCACGCAACAAGCAATTCGCCTAAAATATGCCATGGCACAGAAGGGTCCGTAGTCTAATCGATAGGTTGTCTTTCCTATGACAATACTGAGTGCGAATTTTCTTTTGCTTTGCTTGTCTGAGAGCCGATAAAGTAGGAGTATTTAAGGAAATTCCCCTATTTTGAAAACAAAGAAGCGAAGAGTCATCGGTGGTTACCGGACACCACTGTGGCATATTTTTATTTTTAAGAGCAAACAAATATCATATGCTACTGATGAGTTGTAGTCGAGCGTAATTTGTATTGCCTTATACTATGGACATCACAGTGTGTCCTTACTTGTGCTTGCTGTCTGTGCGCATGAAAATTCAGCGTTTTTTAAATGTACGTGGACGAAGCACAATAATAAAAATGAATGGCTCTTTCACAATAACTGGATGGACTAATTTAGTGACTTTCAATCTCACTGGAGCCTACTTTCCAGCACGAAAGCTGCCACACTGCTTAACCCTGAGTACAGAGAGTAGGATACCACACATTCACAAAAAAGTAGAGGGTAATACAAAAGCTTTATGCAAGCACTGGAAAATAGGGTAATAGCTTTTGCTAATAATTACGTAGTTTTCTTAGATACTATTTCGCAATATTTAGAAGATCTTCAGCAAGGCCTTCGTGACGATCTCTACTACAGCTTGCATTTGGTGCATTTATCTTGCAACTGTTCAAGGAGGCCAAATGCAACAAGACCCTCCACAGTGCAATGTCAAATGTTTTCGCATTAGTATGCTTGCATACTAATTAGCATCATGTGGACAGAATGTTAGAGCCTCTAGGTTATATATACTTTGAACGAATATGTGCCAGCATGCCATTTTAGTTCACGTAATCAACACCAGGAACAAAGGGAATGGGAATAGGGCTGGGAGTTCCAAATATATTTTACTTATTCGTTTGCGGCATATACAGATTACATTTTTCAATGTAATAGTATAGGCATCATCACACGTCCATCCGATGTCAATATAAAGACAGCGTTGTCGGCTCATGTAGGTCATTCGCATCGTCAACCAACCCTGAAAACAGACGGAGCGCAGAGATAAAGGTTACCATGGCAATGCGCTCTCTCTGAATGTGTGAGTAGAACAGATATTGCTGCATCAATTACACTCAAGGTATGCTAGTACGTACAATTTTTTGTCGAGTTGGCCAGAAAATACGTATAGTTCCCTATACATGGCCGAAAAAAAATAAACACATGCCGATCTCCGTCTCAAGGATAGTATTCTTCCGATTCAACCCACAGTGGAAGAAAAAAAACGACTTGTCACGTAATATGAGCGTGGTACAATGCCTGCTTTAGCCATGGAGGAGACCAAGTGTGCATCCCGTCCTGCTACATAATGCTGAACCGCTGCGCCAATGATCTTTCAATGAAGGTGTATAGAATGCACGCCCGTTTTTGCGCGCTTCACAGTGGCTAGCTTTTGTGCGATAGCGTATATAGCATGTGTGGGATTAAAAAAAAAGACACGTATACAATTTTTGCCTTGATAGTAGTTATTTTATTGTAATTGAAAGCTTTGCCATAATAACCGTTTTTTATAAATATGGCTAACCACTTCGTGCTTATCTTGCGAGAGATATGTCTGGAGTGCTCAATGTGCGTTAGTTATTTGCTTCTCTAGGGCATAAAAATAGAACGTCTGCATGGAAGACATTCAATTTGAGTTGGCCTTTCCACTAAGGAAAAAAAAGAACACGATTTATTGCTGTTTTTAAGTACTGTTTTATGCGATAGTTGAATGTTTACCAAAGGATTTATTAATAAACGTGATCCCGTACAATAGACAAGAGTAAATGCGTTATGCACTTACCTTCACTAACGTTCTCGTCATTCGTGTCCGATACACCGAAGGAATCACAATGGAATCGGGCCATATGCTCCCCATTGTGTTCATAACATGTGTACAATCTTATATATTCAAGGCACTAGTTTTCCACTGTCCACTGCCACTGCCATAGTTGTGCAATAGAAAGAAAGAAAAGAGAGGTACAAATAAGGGAAAGGTGATGAGCCGAACTGGAATGGAAACATCAAGTTGGATTAAAGGCACCAGTGAAACGAGAAGGAGAAAGTTAAAGGTGGAAAGAAGGGCAAAAAGAAAGCAAGCAACTTTTGCCGATGGTATACATAGCTGTCACCAGTACTTGTTCGTCATCCACACTAGAGTAATCTGTACGGGATGACGAAGGCATTCTTTTGAATAAGTAGATTCCTGGGTCATGTTCCTTCAACAAGGTGAGACGCTGAACTTAGGTAGCTGAGAACTTGGGTGACTTTGTTGCGCGAAAGTCACAATAGGAATACCAAAATGTAAAATTCAAAAGAAACGTTGTCCTGTATACCAACCAATGCTTTGTTTACTGATAGTAAGAGTCGAATGTTGTGAAAGAGAGAGAGGTTCTTTTCGGAACCAAAATACACCACATCTGGCGATGTCGAGCAGGTGAGGAAGTGTATTAGTTTGTTATTCAAACAATACGTTTGCATTTGAGAGCCCAAAGAAACGAAATGAAGAAAAGTGCATAGGTGACACCAGTGGCGTGAGGCTGGAACCACCAGAGGAGCTAGGGATCGACCTAGCTAAGTTTCGCAAGTACTGCGCAGCTCTTACTAGAGATGATAAGATTTCGCTAGCAGTACTAATTACGACTAGACTTGGCCAGTCTTCGCTAGACATGCTACGCGGCAACTTGTTACGCTGATGTGATTTTAGTCACGTTCCTATTTCTTACATGGTTCTTGGCGGGAATATGTCACCTGACTAGCCAATAATTGAGCAACGCTGCGTGGTTTTATTCGCATGAATATATGTGGCGTGATGTTTGGGGAATTTCACTGATGTTAGCGGATACCTGATGTTGCATGAGGCCTATCATGTGGTTAGTTAAGCGTTGTTACGTGACGACAAGACACGCGTGTTTTGTCGCGTTATATTCAGCCGCATGACTGTTTTTCTTGTGAGATGTGTTTTGGTTTACGTGACTAAATCATAAAAGATTTGCAGTAACACGAAAACTTCTTACGTGGTGTGACATGATTTTAGTGCCGTGTCAAGTCACTACGTGATGTTAAAATTAAAAGATTTTAAGTTTCGTGACTTGCGGCTGCGTGGTTGGCTGACGTTTGGGCCTTATTGGTCTATGATTGTAAGTGTTGAATTGAACGAACGAGACAGGGACTAAAAGAAGAGATGATGACACACAGGACATCAACTTTTCAATAAACCGCTGTCTTGTTTGCGCAGTTGAACACTTAGGATGTGGCAGGGTGTCACCTAATTTCGGTCCCGGAACTACTTCTCACGTTATTAGGTTATTTCTTGTCAGAGCAGTTTCTGCATTCCAGATCGGACAATTTGGTGCCCATGTTGTGGGAAAGGAAAGAGTGAGCACACGTCGGTTCACGGTGATGATAATTTATGTTTGAACTTACCGGGGCAAGAAAAAGCTTAATTATTTCCGCCGTAAAAAAAAAGTCTGATCTTTTCATAGCAGACCTGTTGCGGAATAATTCACTTCACTAGGAGGAGTAAGAAAAAGAAAAAGAAGGAAAGGCAGGGAGGTCAGTAAGACGTGCGTTTGGTTTGCTATTCTACGCTGGTGTTAGGGGAATGGGGGGATTTGAAGATAGAAAAAAAATGCAAACAACGTGCATGAAAGCTAGCGTAGCTGTCAGCAACTATATCTCCCGTGAAAAAAAAAAAGAAGTATTTTTATCTACAAGCGTATCGTTTTAGAACAACTACTAGTAGTCCAAACACTCCTGTTCTCAGTCACGCCTGGTCAATTACGCGAGAGAAGTTGGTTTGGTTGTCACTCACCGTTCTCGACCACGTCAAAGAGGGTACCTCCCGATTTGTCTCCAGTGGCTTGCACGTTTTGGAAAGAAGCTTGTATTCGCTAATACCAAATCAATACCTTCCCGCATTCCTGCAGTGCGCAAGTTTTTTTTTTTACGTCACGGTCCCAGTGTGCTGAGAAACCATTTTTTCCTTCGTGCTTGCGGGACTATCCATGTCACGCGGCGCAACCATGCACACTCGTTTGAACGGTCACTCGCATCTTTCCTCCAGGCACCTCGGGTCCTGTGCGCTGGCGCACCCTCGTGGCTGACGCCGAAAGCGCCTCTACTAGACACAGATTTCGGCGAAGGAGCACAGAGAAAACAAAACTAGTCTTCTAGCGCTAGCACAAATCGATGCTTGCGGCAGTTTGCCACGGCTCTCCATCTCTTTAGGCTGCCTCGCCCATTACTTCGTCCCTCCAGGTCCCAGTTAGATCGTGTACAAAGCTTCATCTTATGCCGCGGCTCGATAGCACTTGCATAGGGTATATGTCGTGTGCCCTTGGAAGGAGCATGACTGGTGAGAACGTCACAAGAAATTCAGGTGAAAACTTTAGACGCCTCACCCTCGACTGCTGACCCGCAGGTCCCGGGATCACAACAAGGCCGCGGTGGTCGGCATTTACAATGAAGGTGGAAATGTTTGAGGTCCGTGTACGTAGATTTAGGTGCACGTGAAAAAATTCCAGTTATTAAAATTTCTGGACTCTTCTTCAACAACATCGCTCATAATGGTATATTAGTTTTCATTAGTTGAACCTCAGCAATTACTAGCAGATGCCTCATTAAACACGAAAATCAGCCATCGTCATTGACTGGTGTCCCGCGCCGTCGGCGTCAGTACTAGTAATAGAAAAATCATTACCCAAAGACATTGCCACATATTGTTATCATTTCGAGACAGACTGACAAATATTGCAACGAAACCGCTGTATAACTCTCGCGTTACATGACGTGACATCGCTTGATGAGGTAGTCACTTGACATGGTCGCTTGCTCAAAGGTGCGCCAACCATAGAGGCTTTGCAAAATCCAGCGAGGTGCAAGTGCAGAGAGCTTTCAACGCTTTCGATCTTTGATACTGTCTAAAACTCCATCAGACGCAGAGAGCCTTCAACATCTTTGATCTCGAAGGCTGTGTAAAGCTGCATTAGGCGCACAGAGCTTTCAACGCCTTCAAACTTTGAGGCTGGCAAAACAGATTTGGTGCAGAAAAGGTTCATCACCTTTGATCTTATAGGCTAAGTAAAACTGCGTTAGGTGCACAAAGGTTTAACGCCTTGGATATGTAAGGCTATCTAAAGCTGCCTAGCTTTCGGAGAGTGGCGTAGTAAGTAAGAGAGATTTCGGAGAGTGGCATATCAGTATGCATACATACTTGAGACAAAAAAAGATCTAGAAGATATGCTTTCAAGTCGTCTTAGGCGAAGGCGCAGAGGACTGCGTGAGTTTGTTTAGCGGCTATCGGAAGTCACAGGTCTACGGCATTTCACCAGCAGCCCTTAAACATTAAACAAATGATATATTGGGAATGTAAATTGATTTTTTTTTTGAAATTCACAGCTCAGACTAAACTGTGCCTTTTGAAATGACACCTGTATATTACATTAAAATTGTTACTTTTGCGATTGAGTAGTGCCGCAGAGATAAAGAGAGGGCGTAAGAAACTCCATATCTAAAAAGATAAGCAAGATGAATGAGTATTTTAAGGTTTACATAAGAAGCTATCAGAGAATAGACTCTTGTAATACCGACCAATTTGTTCATAACACCAAATGTTGGTGAAAGCGTTCTCGAATTTATTGCTGAAGTGCTTTATTTGAGAGACCAATTTTTAACAGTGAAGCTGTTTAAGTTAGCCGTACTTAGAGTGGCGTACAAGTATGTGCCATGTGGCCTTTGTGAAAACAACTGTCATTATGAGCAGGTATGTGCCACAGAAATGGACTAAATCCCACTACTCACCATCGTTTTAATAAAAATGAAGACGAGCACTACCATTAACTAAAAATTTTTCTTCAAGAAGGACGCCTTGAGTTTCTAGTGGTCAGAAAAAAAGGTATGTCTACATTTATTATTTTGGTTCTTAAGGGACACCTTGGGCACATTCACACCCACTAGTTTTGACTTTAATAAGTGAAAAATTGTTTTCACAAATGCTGAGTAAAACAATTATTTCTTGATATTACTAGAATGGCTTCACAGTTTCTCGGTACATTCATAAAAATGCAGTAAAATATCCACTGGAGTAGCTTGCAGGATTTAGTAAAGTTTTCTTTAAAGACATTCAAGCGATTGCCAGCAGTACTACACATTCCTTTCCGATCTATCGCCACTTAAGCCAGAAGTAAATTATGCGGCTTACAGGTATATGCCATGCGGCCTACGTGAAAGCTACAATCATCTTAATTCGGTATGTGCACGCTAAATCCGGAGGAATGCCACTACTCATCACTGGCCCACTGCAATGTGCATAACTATAATTGCCTCCTCGGAGCTTCAGTTAAAGAGACACGTGCTTTGTAAACTCACTCAGTTGTCGATGTGATAGACTCCCCAATAACACACACTCGACAATAACATAAAGAACTGGGCAAACATATTGAAATTAAAAATATTCCTCGCTCTCGATAGCTTGAAATGTGTTGGGTCAAGAAGCCCTTAATATGCAAGAGTAGCAAGTTATCCTTTATTCTCAGGGACGAAAGGCCCAATTGGGATTGTCTGACGTCACACTAGGCTCAAAGACATCTAGTGAAGAAATTGAAAACCGAGATGTCATGGCTTGTGGATGTGAATGCGAGTTTGTCCAGATTATGTTTTTCTTCTGCGAACTTGCGTGCACGTATTGAAAATTGGGAAAATTAAATCTTTGTATGATGAACGGTACTAGTTTATTACACTTCTTAAAGCATAACATTAAACTTTTATTGGTAAGTCGTGACAAGAACCGATTTCTTAAAAACTTCGAAGTTTTTTTTGTGTTAGGAAACTCGACTTCAGTAGTTTTTTTTGTGTGAAATCAAAGCACTGTGGAGTTTAGCTGAGCTTTATATATGTACACCATTGCTGCATCGGGTGAAGGCGTCGCCCA